TGTTAAACTTCACACAGATTTGAGTATTAATATTCTAAAGTACTCAGTAGAAATATTCTTTTATTATATCTTATCTGAAAAAGTTAGCTTTTCTATAATAAACTTTAATATATGCTCATTATAGACTAATTTTTAAAAACTTAGAAAAATAAGAGAGAAGGAAAATAATCATTGTATATACAGGCTGTGAGAAACGCTTTTTTAATTGTCTTTTTCACTATTTGTATAGATGAGTATGAAGGTGTAGATCTCCAGCCCTGTGTTGTTTATTTTTTAGTTTTGAGACAGAGTCTAAGTCTCTAGGTTGCCCAGGCTGGGCTCGAACTTGACTCCTGGCCTTTTTTTTTCTTTTTGTTTTTGAGTTAGAGTCTTGCTGGGTACTCCAGGCTGGCTTGGAACTCACTGTGTAGTCATTGACCTTTTAGCTGGTGTGCATCTCAAGGAGGGGCTGGGGCAGAAGGCTCTCTGTGGTTCAGAAGTGTTTTCAGTGGCATCCCCTCAGCCTTGCCATCTGGGGCCATCTGACTGGCTGTGGGCTCTTCCAATTCACAGGAGGAGGGGATGCGGCCTGTTCCCACATTGTCCCCGAGTGGCAGTGTGGAGTGGTAGGGTGCTTCAGCGGTTCTCATCTCCCCAGCTTCTCCTTGTATTGCAGCTGGATCAGCCCTCGCTCCCGCTCCTGGTCCTGGGGGACCCGACTTGCAGCTGTGCACCTCATACTCTCACTGCTTCACTTCATTCTTTGGGTCTGAGGCTGGGGCTGCTTCTGTAGCCTCAGTCTCTGTGTTGGCCTCAGGGTTGCTCTGTTTAATTCCTGACATTACATTTTCTTTGCTAAAATAACTGGTTTTGTGAACCTGACTTGATCCTGCCTGCTTTAGCTCTGGCTTACTGTTTTCCAGGGCTGTACTTGGTGCTGCTACTCTTGCTCCTGTAGGGTTCCTCCCTCCCAGTCTCTTACTCTGCCAGCGAGGGGGAACAGGAGACAGAAACCACTACATCTCTGGGACAGGGAAGGCTTAATGTAAAGAATAACTGTCGTAGGCTTGGACTGAGGGATTGATTGGCAGGAAGTAAAGAGAAAGTTGATTCCCAGGAATCCCAGGCCTGACCAGTGGCCTCTACCCTGGCTGAGATGGAGTGTCCTCCCTGGGGCTGAGAAGTCGCTGAGAGTGGAGTTGGTGGCTTGCTGGAAGTCCCTGGTCTTGGGCTGGTAACTGGCTGTGGGGCTTCCTGAGGGCGTCGTGGTTGTGCTGCTGGTACTGCACTGCGGGAGCTGGGCTGGAGATGCTGCTTCCTCGGGCCCTGGGCAGAGGAGGGTGCTAGCCTGGCAGGAGCAGACCCTGCTACAGTGCCTGGCAGCACCCCTCCAGTGCTTCCTGTGGTGCTTAGCTGCGGTGACATGGCTTAACGTGCCCACAGATGGCAGTGATGCCTCTGAAGGGGGCTCACCTTTATTGTCATGAAGCAGACAGTAAAGATTTGTTTGGGCTGAAAAGTAATATTAAGGACTGGTGCCCACTCAGAAGTATTTTAAATGCATCCTGTGTAGCAGCTCGTGGAATCTCTTGCATATTAAGGGCTTTAGAGAACCTTTAGTTCCTGTTGCTTTACAGCCTTACCATTTTCTGACTGAGTTGTGCCAGGCGGGTGGGTGTGGAGTTGAACTTTTTCCCATGGGGGTGAGCACCCTCTCATGTGGAGTTTTTGGCCTTTTGGATCTTATTTTATGAATTATTTTTCAGAGTACCTCCTCTCCCCATTTTTCTGTTGACTTGTTGGTCTTTTTAAGTGATGTCTAGGTTGCTCTCTTGATATTTACTGGCATGCGTCCAATAGCAGTTATGTAGTCCTTGTATCTTTTCCTAGTCTACAGCTAGTTTATTTCTGTGTTTATTCTCATCATGGCAAATTTGAGAAGAAAGTTAATGTTACGCGATGTTGCCAATTTTACTATAGTCCAGCTTATAAGTATTTTTAAAAATGGGTGCTATTTTATTTCATCTTGTTTCAAAGTCTTTCTCCAGTGTTTTCTAAAGCTTTTGTCTTTTGCCTTTTGCCTTCTATATTCTAGTCAGTACTTGGAATAGGATTTTTTGTGAGTACAAGGTTGTCTTTTTCCAAGCTGACACCCAGGTGTCCCAGCACTGTTTTTGAAACGACTGTCGTTTGCTTAATGAACCGCTGTCACACCTCTGCCATCGATCATAAATCAGTATATCTTAAAGTCTGGTTTTTGTTGTGTTCTGTTGGTCTGTTTATTCCAGCCTCAGCTCCACACTGTCTTACCTGTGACTGCTGTCATGGGGATGCAAACCTTCTTACCTTATTACTTTTCAACTTAGCTATTATTATCCCTTGCATCTAAACATGAATTTTAGAATCATGTCATCAGATAATACACAAGTGTACCTATGTCCTCTGGTATGTGAAATTATGCACACAGTCATGCACACACATACCTCTTTTGAGACCCAGACCTGGATTGCATTTAATCTCTAGATAAAAACTGAATCCTCTGTGAACCTGGTATAATCCTTCACTTAACTTAATTTTGCTTTAATGTTTCTCAGTTACATTTTGTACTTTCTTCCTTGGTGGTATTATACCTCACTTTTGGTTATATTTTTGGTCCTTTTATAAATGGTGTCTTCTTAGTTTTTTTGTTTGTTCCTGTACACAGAAATGCTATTGATATTTTTAATATGTTGACTTTATGTCTATCAATTTCTATGTTTTCTTATCAATGCAGATAGCTTATACATTTAAAAATATTTTCTGTCTATATTTTTATCTCATCTGAGGGTCAAATGTGACAGTTTAATTTGTTCCTTTTCATTTCTTAGATCTTTCATTTGTCTTGCTGGCTGGGATTTTCAGTACAGTGTTGGCTAGAAATGGTGACACCGTACTTTGGACTCAGTCCCCCAGAAGAGTTCTCTGCCTGCACTTGGCCTTGAATTATACTGTGTGCTGTAAATTAGTGTGTGTGAGTGTGTGGTTGATACCTGTTTTTAGGTTAAAGGAGCCTCCTTGTACTCTTTGGTGGCTGGGAATTTTTTGTTTGTTTTTCTTTATGACTGGGTGTTGAATTTTATCAACTATATTTTCTGCAGTGTTTGTGATGGTTATAAGATTTTAGTCCTTCATACAGAGTTAATGTGGTCAGTTGTATATTTTGATTTTCTAGTGTTAAAGCAACTTCCAGTGCAGGTATAAATTTGACATGGTTGTGTCTGGTATTACTGCATTTATTTTCTAAATAGGTTGTTTAGCTTCATAAAACTGGTTTAGGAGTCTACTCTTGTTTTGTTCTCTGGAGCTATGTAAGGTTGGAGTGAATATGAACTTCCACCATGAATATGAACTGGCCAGTGTGGCCATCTGGGTTAATGTTTTCTTTGTGAAAGCTTTTGACTGTGGATTCAGCTTTCCTAGTGGGTTCAGGACTCTTCAGTCTTTCTCTGAACATTTCATAGAATGCTTTAGTCAGTTTTTGTTAATTGTACTCTAGGATTTTGTGAATTCCTTCTTATCTGCATGGGTTATTTAGAAGTATATCTCTGGACTTTTAAATGTATGGGTTTTCTGATTATTTGGGGATGTATGTCTAGCATAATTGCTATTGCAAAGTCGATCCTTTAAAATTTGTTTAGAGTTGTGTTGTGCTCTGTTATGTAGTGAAATGTTTTATGGCTTGCTATATGGCCTTGAGAAGACTTGGTGGTCTGCAAGGTTTTGTTGTTCCTGTTAAATTTTCTTTTTTTTTCATTAGATTCACATATAATTACCAAATGGAGCTTCTGATAAGGCCGAGATAACATTTTTGGCTTTGATAGCTCATTTCTTTCTAGTGCAGAATAATATTCTGTTGTCTACATGTGCCACAGATGATTTAACCATTCACCTGCTGGAGGACATCTTGCTATTCCAGGTTTTTGCACTTAGGAATAAAGCTGTGCACATCATGTGCAGCATTTTCAGTGGACATACATTTTCAGCTCCTTGGGTAAGTTCCTAGGAGCACAATTGCAGGATCACATGGTAGAATATGTTTAGATTGGAAAGAAGTTGCCAAGCTGCTTTGCAAAGTGGCTGCACCGTGCTGCATTCCCCTTTGGCAGTGACTGAGACCTCCTATGCTTCCACACCCTGGCAGGCCCTGTGACATCCCTGCTCTGGGTTTTGGGCTGGTGTTCTGCAGCTTTATTTTCCTGCTTATAGTTGCTAAGAAAGGTTTGTCAATTGGTTTCTTTCCTCTTTTGCTTTTGTTAGTTTTTCTTCTCTCTGTATTGGAGATGATATTATCAGGCATATTCAGTTTAAAATTGTTATATCTTATCTGGTAAGTTAAGTCATAGTCTAATTACTTAAAAACTCTGATAGTGCTTTTTGCCTTAAGTTTTATTATGTCTTGTTTTAAGAGATCAGTGACTTCTTTATTTAGCTGTTATTTGTCTGCTATATCTTTTTACCACTCTTTAACTTGCTATAGTTTTATAACCTTATGTTTTGAATATGTCTATTTTAATTTTTTTCTTTTTTGGGAGTGTTTTTGAGACAGGATTTCTCTGTGTAGTCCAGACTGACCTTGAACTTTCTAGGTAGCATAGGCTGGCCTCCAACTCATTATCCTGCCTCAGCCCCCTGAATATATGTCTGTTTTAAATAGCATGTAGTTAGAGTTTTAAAAATCTACTCTAAGCATAGCCGTCTTTTAATTAGAGCTCATATTCAGGATATTGAATGTAATTATAGGTGTATTTATGTTTACATTTCTAGTATTTTTAAAGAAGTTAATCAGTTTTGTTTAGAATATATGGCTTTGATGAGGCATTATTAATGTCATGCCTAAAGTTTCACTGTGGAGAGAGACCTTTGTATTTAAAAGAAGCAAACAGAAGCTTGTACTTAGTAACATGAGGCTTGCGCCTAATTCATGGGTACTTATTCGTGTGTTTAGTGAGAGATCTTTCTGTTTTACTTTTCCACATTCCCAGCTTTCCGCTGTGGCCTGCAGTTCTTGGGCAACATCGCCTCACGCAATGAAGACTCCCAGTCTATTGTTTGGGTGCACGCTTTCCCAGAACTCTTCATGTGAGTACATGGATAGGAATTTTTCTAACTCCTGAAAAGACTGTGGTTGCATCATTCCTTTATATGAAGGTAAAAGCCCTGCAAAACTAACTTGTGGTAATGGGATTCAGCATCTGTCCTTGGCAGGTGTTGGGGACGGGTGGCAGCCGGGAGAGTGCTGGGTACTGGCTGTGTTCTCCCTCGATCAGGTTTGTGGCTGCAAGTTTGCTGAGCTGTAGGCATACTTAAGCTGTATGACCTGGACTGTATGTCTGTGTCCTTTTCAGGAAATAAGTCATAAAGTAAGTAGCATTGCTAAGGACACCAGAATTTAACATAAAACATTAAACTATGGGCAATGAATTAATCCTTTATTTACCTACTCAGTATTTATATGCGTTGCGCAATGCTATATGTTTTGATAGGTATGGAGAACTGTAAGGTGTAAATTACCAATTTGTCCATTTAAGGTATGGATAATCAGTTTGTCTCTTAGGTTAGAAGTGGGTAACCAATCTTTATCAGTGTTAGACGGGGTAACTAGTCTATCAGTGTAAAATGATATGGGTAACTAGTTCACTTTCAGTGTGAGAAGTGGATAACCAGTCCACTGTTGGTGTAAGAAATGGGTAAGTGGCCTGTTTTTCAGTGTGAGAAGTGGATTTTTTGTCCATTTATCTAGATTCGATTCTGCACCTTTTCCCGGTGATATAGTATGTTTTAAAATTAGCCCTGTTGTTGATAAACAATTGAGCGTGAGGATCAAAGGTAAGCAGATGATGGAGGCTGGCTTGGCAGTGGGAAAGGTACTGCCTGGGGGTGGAAGGCTGAGCTTCTGATCTGGGCCCTGGTGCCCACGAATGGGGTGACGTTGATGGTGGCACCATGTAAGCAGCAGAGCAGCAGCTATTGTAGCACCCCAGTCCTTCCTGCAGCTGTGTGGGTGAGGGGACTGTCCCTTTGTGGATAGATTGAGGGCCCTGAAGCTATTGCTGGTACGCGGCAATGAACCCAGCCCGCTATCTGGACCCACAGCTTCCCTGTTCATGATATAAGCATCAAGCTGCTGCAGGTCTGTGCTGCCTCCCTGCTGGTGTGGGTTTCCTGGGTGCATCTGTGACATATTGATTTAGGAGCACACAAACTCTAATGCACTTCAGCTCACTGAGTCCTTTCTCAAATTCTTGCATGTAATTAGATTTGAAGGTGTTCACGTATGTCTGTTATTGTGTGAGCAATAATAATTGAACTTAGGCGGAAGGAGAGAGTGATGAGATTGAAGCTACAGGGAATACACGTTACTTTTTTTTTTTAGAATTCCTTTCTTTAAAATATTTTTTCGTTCCTCACATCTGCCGTGGTTTGAGCTATATGACCAGAATACAGTGGAAGCTTAGATATACTCATTATTCTATAAGAGTCCATGCTTTGGTAAGGAAGGAACAAGAAAGTACACTATAGTGTCAGAAGTAATATAAGGAGGATAAACCCAGGTATAGTAGAAAAAAGAGAATAGAAAAGGAGAGGCCCTTGAGCAGAGATACGTTAACAGTTTATACTGTATTTTATATTGTCTTATTTTTCCTCACCGAAGCCCTGTGAGACAGTTGGAGAAAGTCTTTTATTTTTATAACAAAACATACTGCAAAGTTATATGATTTCACTGTGTGCATTTATGGGACAGAGTAAAGTTTGAAGCCCAGTTTTGGTAGGTACTGGCTTCATGTCATTGAGTAAGTGAAGTTAATAGATTGTTTAATTGTGATCTGTGGATGATACCTTCCTCAGAAGAGTATTGTGGAGCTTAAATGAAAAAGCCATGATATATTGACAGTTGGTAAATGAGCCGCTGTCGTATGGTCATGTAGCTGGCAGGTAGGTGAGCAGGAATTACACTGAGATGCTTGATCCCAAGTTCTGTCCCGTGCCACTATACCGTACCGTCTGTTCTCCAGACGCGCTGTCCCTCATGACAACTGACGGTGCTTATGGTCTTTGAGGTATCATTTTTTGCCCAAGAGTTTTTCCTTTCCTTCTTTCCTTCCCTCCTCTTAGTGCTGGGAATTGAACCCTGGGCTTTGTATATGCTAGGCAAATGTTCTACCCCTGAGCATACTGAGCCCAGCCATTGTCAGGTCCCTCCCCGCGCCCCCGCTGGTATCGGGAATCGAACTCAGGACCTTGGGCTTGCCAGGAAGGCACTCTGCCACTGAGCTAAACCCACATCCCCATTGTTGGTTTTTCTAACAAGAAGAAGGACCATAATGTTTTATACATGTGATCATTTTTATTTTTAATCAAATGTTACTTGCTTCTTTATTGAGTCCTATGTCAACAGCAACTTTTGTGACTTAATTTTACTTTTGCTATTTTACAGTGAAGTACTTGTTTCAAAGAATTATAAATCTTTATCAGATCTTTGAAAATATCAGTGTATGTCTGAATATCAGTAATCCTTACAAATATTCAGTACTCAGTAATCCTTAAAAATATCAGTATTGAAAAAAAAATCAGTACCAAATTTGCTAATGGGGTCACTGTTATTTATGTGTTATAATCCTCTCTTATGTCACTGAATTAAACTAAAAATCTTATTTCTTTGTTTGGAAGGTCTTGCTTAAATCATCCAGACAAAAAAATTGTTGCTTACTGCTCAATGATCTTGTTTACATCTCTTAATCGTGAAAGAATGAAGGAACTGGAAGAAAACCTTAACATTGCGATTAACGTCATAGAAGCTCACCAAAAGCAGCCAGAATCAGAATGGCCGTAAGTATCTTGCTAGAAATTTGATTGCTCGATGTCATCCTGACTGATCACCTTCCTTGTAGAAGTTTTAAGTAAAAATTTGAATTATGAGAATTAAACCATAAGTTAACACTTAACATGTGGCCAATAAAATTAGAACAAGTTTTGAGTAGATGCTGAGGAATCTGTGAAAGGGGTGAAGTAAAGCTTGGCTTGGGGCTTAAAGGCTAAGGAGGTTGTGTATGGTGTGTGGAGGGGAAGGACACTCTTGGTGTGCAAAAGCAAAGAATGCAGATGCCTCCGTGATGCTACACTGTGGCCATAGTAGATGATTCCTTAGGGCCTGAGCCCAGTCTGTGCCTGGCGCTGCTGGTCACATTGCTCCCCACACAGAATGCATCATTTTTTCCTGGTTGCTTTGAAGATTTTTGTTTTCTCAAAAGTTGGTAGTGTTATCTTGGCGTGGATTTGTTTGGGTTTGTTCTTTCTGGGGTTCCCCCAGCTTCTTGAATCTATAGCTTTTGTCTTTCGTGCAGTTTGGGGAGTTTCCAGCCATTATTTGTTTGAATACTTCTTCACCCCTATGTTCTTTCCTCCTGGGATTCCATGTCAGGCACAGAAGCCAAGAGGGAGGCCACATTTCTGTGACCAGTAAAGCTGTGAGTTACAGCAGCCACTTGTGGCTTTAGAATTTGTTCTTTAAGGGGACAGAGACAAGCAGCAAAGGGATTGGCTCTCCACCATCCCGATCCCTTAAATCAGAAGGGACTGCGTGATTGGCACCTGAAATGTGAGATGCCCTATTGTGGAGAAGCTGCCTGGTGACTGCACAAAGTGGTTCTATTTCCTGAGAGGGCTGGGGTGGAAACGCCTGTTTCATCAGAGCAGTAACGCTTGAGAATCAGCCTCCAGACAGTCTGCCTGAGGGGATAGCACACCATGGAGCTGCACCTCCACACTGTCCTGTCGGGAGCAGCGCAGGCTTTGCTGAGACTCTCCCTTCTCTTCTCTATAGGCATTCACACCTGTACATTTCCTTATAAAAACTTCTTTAGCATCCTGCAATTAAGTATCTGATAAGTTTCACTTCTCTCAAATTGTATCCCACTTTCCCTTATGGTTTCTTAAATCCATTGGTTTTTTTAGGAGTTTGTCTAATTTCCACAAAACTGTGTGTTTCCTACATTTCCTTTTATTATGGATTTCTGATTTCAGTCCACTGTGGTTGTAGAACACTATATGATTTCTTATGTTTTAAATAGTAGTGAAGTTGCTTTATGGTTCACCATCTGGCATGCCAGGGGGAACAGTTCATGTACCTTCAGAAATGTTGTATTCTATGGTAGAATGCTCTATAGACCTTCTAAGTCTAGTTGGTTTACAGTGTTCAAATGTTCATTTTCCTTGTTGGTCTTCTGTCTAGTTCTGTTGATTTTTTTAAAAATGCGGTGGAGTTCTGGTCAGTTAGGGAGTAAATTATTCTCGTTTTCTCCTTTTAGTTACTTCAGTTTCTGATTTCATTGTTTTCAGGCTTTGTTGTTAAGTACATATAAGTGTATGACTGCTATGTTCTCTTGAAGAATTGACCTTTTCTTATTATGAAATTCACCAAAATTTTGTTGACATTTTAGTAGTCTTCTCCTGTTTACTTAAAATCTGTTTTTGTGGCATGTTCCTCACTGCGGTGAGTGTGCAGGTGCCTCAAGCCTTGAGTTGCCACCAGTCGCGCTTGCATTCGTAGGTAAGGTTTGAACCTTTTCAGTCTTGGTCTCTTTAGGTGCAAACTGTTATCATTCTGAACATTTCTGAATTGAAAATAATTTATTTTTCTGGAAATTCATTTGTATTTTAATTACCATGTACAAACAGACAAACCAAAGTTGGACTGTGAAATATGTATTACAGTGTATTCGACTTAGGAAACTTCTCTCAGTGTCAGATGTAAGAAGGTGGGACGAATCATTACAGTCAGTTTACTCAGAAAAATTTTCTGTTGCTCAATTCTGTTTTATTTGGTAAGTACCAACTGTTTGTGAGACTAAGCTCCCTGAAGGCAAGATTCATGTTGCTCATTACTGGACCCTAACGTGGTACCTGACAGCGTAAGCATCGTGCCATGGTTCCCCTGGGTCTTAGGATGATCCATGTCACGTGTGCACAAAGGGGAGTTTATTGGTTCATACAACCACATAGTCCTGGGGGTCTTTCAGTTTAGGCATAGTCAGGAGCTAGCACATCACAGTGTTCTGTCTCCTTCTCTTGTCTGCTGGGTTTGTTCTCAGGCATGTTTTCTGCCTTCTTTGCTGGCTCTGTACCTACTCATAGTTGGCATGGCCTGAGACTGGCCCTCAGACCACTGTCCTCTATCATGACTCATTGCCTCGGTGACTTCATCTTGTACCACAGCTTGAACTTTATGGTTCACCATCTGATTTCCAAGTTTATGTTTCAGATCTTGGTGTTTTGCCAGGATTCCAGATTTGCACACTCTTGCCTCCTGTGTGCTTCTAATTGGCTTCTCAAGCTTCTCAAGGCTACCACTGCGCTTTGGCTTCCCTGCCCTTAATACCTGCTGTAGTTCCACCTGTCTATATTGTTTCTGAATATGGTGCCACCAATTACCCCTCGCTGAGTCCTGGATCTGCTCAGCTCAGAGCCCATGAGTCCCTCCTGGTTCTTTTCCTCTAGCGCCTTAGACTCGCCAGCTGTGTCTCAAAAGTGCCTGGCTTCCCTGCTTCACACCTCCTCTGCTGGGTCAGTGTAGACAGACTGCTGCTGGTCCCTGCTCACTGATCTGGCTCTCCTCTGTCCTCCTGATTGGTACACAGTAGCCAGAGTGACCTTGTGACAACTTCTTAGCTCTTGTCACTCCCCTTGTCTTCCCAGGACCTGGGAGCAAGGTCACATGTTGGCTCCTGGCTGACCTTGTCCTCTCATTTCTTATGACTCACTGTCTTGCGAGTTAGTTCCAGCTGGCCTTATTCTTTTTGAATATTCTTCGGAGTCTTTATACCTGCTGCTCCTGCTGCTCGATTATGGTTCTTTAAACCCTTGTGTAGCTAGATCCCCCAGGTCTCTACCCAGGTATTATTTCTTCCAAGAGACCTTTCTGGCACTTCACATTAAATAATTAATGCTGTATGTAATTTGTATACCGCCCCCCCCAAATCTGTATTCTTTTCTGCTCTTTATTTTGCTTCATGGCCCTCACCACTATAGAAAATAAAATATTCATTTGTTTCTTTGTTGGTTACTTTTTTGTTGCTAGAATGTAGGACCAACCTCCCAAGCCCTGGAGTTGTCCTGATGGTCACTCTATCCAGGTCACTGAGAACAAGCATTGGCAAACTACCACCATGGTCCAAGTCCAGCCCACTGCTTGTCTCCATAAATAAAGTTTTGTTGGAACACAGCCGAGCTGAGGAATGTATGTTGCCAGGGGCTGCTTTCCTTTTGCAGTGCTAGAGCAGAGTAGTTGTGACAGAGACTGTTTGGCCTGAAAATCTCAAAATACTATCTAGGCCTTTACTGGAAAAGGTTGCCAACTCCCAACATAGAACAGTTCTTGACACAGAGTGTTTGTTGAATGAATCAGGTGGTTGGTTGTGTCCTGGCCTACAGTGGCTTCAGGCTTCTCTGGTTCTCAGTGCTTTTGGACAGATACCCTAAAGGGTCTGTATCAGGGTTTTCTAGAACTAGATTCAGGATCTTTACCTAACATCAGAAACCTATTCTTGAAAGTCAGGCATTCTGTGCAGAATGTGACTCGGACTTACTTCCTTTTAAAAAATGAAATTATAAAAATTACAGAATTATAAAATCTTACTGTCTACCCAGTCCTATTCAAATTCTTAAATACCAAACTGGAATACTACTCAGCATCAGAAAGGAACAAACTATTGGTATAAACACTAATTTGGGAAAAACCTCTGACACTTGTTCATTTCTATAATTTTTCAAGAATGTTATATCAGACTTAGACTATATCTTTCTTTTTTAAAAAGGAACTTACAGAAATTATAAAATCTTACTATCTACCCAGACCTATTCAAATTCTTACAATAAAACCAAAACTGGACTACTACTCAGCATCAGAAAGAACTATTGGTATAAATAGTATGCTGAATGAAAAAGAAAAAAAAACTAATCTCAAAAGCTTAAGTGGTGTATTATTCCATTTAAATAATATTCTTGAAATGAAAAGAAAATTATAGAAATGAATAGGTATCAGAGGTTGAGGAGGGATATTTGAGATATGGCTGTAAAAGGACCTCATAGGGAGTTCCTGGCTATGTACCTTATCTGTGATTGTGAATTTTTAAACCCACCCATGTGAGAAAACCACCTACAGCCACACACACACACACACACACACACACACACACACACACACAAACATACACACACACACTGTATAAGGTAATGTGAATGGGGTCTTTGGATTGTATCAGTGTCAGTGTTTGGGCTGTGATGTGCTATACTGTTACAAGCCCTTACCCTTTGGGAAACTGGGTAAATGGTACACTGGATTAGTTCTTAAAACTACATATGAATGTACATTTACCTCAAAAAACAAGTGTTTAATTAAAAAGATGTAGTCCAAACCTAGTAAAACGCATTGGCAGGTAATACACTACCATGTCAGGATGTGCGCTGCTTAAAACATTTCTTTCTGATCAACACAGAATTAATGTGGTCACCAGCAGGCAATTGCCTGTATGCAAGAAATCTTGTCATGCCACCAGAAGTGCTTTGCACAATCTGCACAATCCTGACATTCTTCCAATTGAATGTGGAATGCAACTTGTGCGTTTTTAAAAGATGATGGTGCACATCTTATTTTTGAAATGTCATATGGGATACTTTGGGATCTAAATAAAATTCTTCCCACATGAACACTGGCTAGCAAATGTATTGAGATGTTTGGGAATTACCCACAGGCCAAGCAGTCATAGACTGAAATAAAAAACTGTTAGCCAAAATAAGCCTTTTCTCTTTGTGTAGATGATTTTAGGTATTTGTGTCCATGGGAAGGTGATTCACACACCGTTCGGGCAACAGTGCTATTGTTGTTGTGATCCAGTGCCTCCCCGCTTTGTCTTTGCAGTATGCCCTCCACCCTCCCTAGTGCATCCATGGGAGAACCTTTCCTTCAATTTTTACTTCTTCATTCCCATACATGGCACTTATCCATCCTTCATTGTGTTCTCAGTTCACTGTTAAAGTTCTTAAGGATTTTGTAAACATGTTGATCAGATCACATTTGTCAACTGTTTGTTAGTTTTCTTTAAGAAAAAATTTTCCAAAGTACTTTTATTCCTGCAACCTGACCTTTTCTGTTGCCCATTGTCTGAAAACAGTTTCATATATTCTTTTGTTTTTATGTTATTTAAAGTAAGAGGGTAAATTGTTATTCTTTTCTGCCCAGAAATAAAAGTAATAGTTAGAAATTTTAAACAGCTGCTTTCAGCCTGGGGCAGAAGGTGTAGACAGACACAGTGTGGAAGCGGACCATCTTGGCAAGACTGCAGCATGGAGTCACTGTGACTTCGGCATCTCCAACTGCTACTTTCTGTGCACTGTAGCTTAAGAAGAAGTGGTTTATTTGGCTCATGGTTTCCATGGCTGGCTGGCTCTAAGGCAGAAACTGCATAGTGGAGGGGCCTGGCGGAGGACAGCTGCTCAACTCATGGCAGCAGAAAGCAGAGAGAGAAAACAGGTGCTTGGGACAAGAATACACCCTTCCAGGTCGCATCCTCCACGAACTCACCAATGGATTAATCCACCTGTGGGTGTGGAACTCTCGTGATTCAGTCACCTTCCCAGAGTCCCACTTCTGAACAAGTGAGACTTTTGGGGGACATTTTAGATTTGAACTTTAATGCCTGATAATATTCGATTGCTCATAGTTCTTTGGACACACTGTTGTTCTTTCCTTTATGCTGTTTTCAGAATTCTTTTGTTCCCCTCCAGCATAAATGCTCTCCCCTCAGAGTCTCCCCAAGGATTCACAAAACTTCTCTTTTGGCTCCTTCATCCCGTGCCCCAGTTCTGTCCTTCACCCTTTCTTCCCAGCCTGCTGTGAGATACACTTTGCTGTTTCTCTAATCTGCGATGTGTGTCTACATGGTGCGCTCACACATTCTTCTGTGGTTATCTACTTATGGGCATTTCTCCAGTGTTTAGAGAGTATTTTTGGAACTAAGGCTTGTGATCTAGCCCCTAACATAGTGTTTGGAATATTGTGTTTTTGAGTGAATACTCTTCTGGGAAAGTGTTCTGAGTTCCAAGTAGGTACGCTATGAATGAGCTTGAAGATCCCACCTTTGTTTTTGAACCTGGCTTGTAATGCATAAACTCTTGTTATTGCCACTTGTTGACCTACCTAAATGAACATGAATGCTGATTGAAAAGTTTGAATATTATCTATTATTATTAGAAATGTTTTACATCAGAGTATTGATCAGCCATTTTAAAGGTTGTTGAAGAAATAGAATAGCTGTTTAGATCTTACTTTGGTTTTGTTTTGTGGTCCTGAGGATTGAACCCTGGTCCGTGTGAATGTTAGGCAAGCACTCTAGCACCAAGCTACACCCTAACCCTAGATTTTGCTTTTATATGGTAGTTAATGTGTTTCATTTGGTTATCATACTGAAAGATATATTTTGTTTGCTAGCTAGTGATTAAACTATGTGTTAGTATATTGAATACTTTACATTTAACTTTCATTACTCTAACCTTGGTTTTAATAAACAGTGTATTCCTTAGTTCTTAAATCTTTCCCTCAGATGCCCTCTGGTAAATACAGTTCAGAATTAATAATACTACTCACTCTTTTAGATGTCACAGTGGTACTTTGAAGAAATATGCCTCATAATCTTTGCCTTGGGGCTTTCATAGTTGATCTCTTTGAGTTCAGATGAGCACATTGGTTGACAATGAGGATGTTTTCTTGGTAACTTGAGAACTCTTAAAAAGAGTGGAAAGTAAAGCCTAGGGTTCATTACTGTGTTGTTGGCTTATGTTTAAATGAAAGTATAACACGTCCATTTCTCTGCCTGATTTTACAGCATTAAACTTTTGACTAAAACAAGGTAATACGTTTTCTGTCTATACCTGAACTTACAGGTAAATTTCATATTACTGTTTATAGTGATTCTTCTTTTTAAATTTAGATAACAGCTATAGTAGGCTCTTTCTTACAGTACAGTCAATTTGGATTATCTCAGTAAAATTTTCATTTGGAAAAAGGACTTTGTCCTTTTAGGCAATAGTAGAAAAATATTACGTGAACCTCCTAAAATACTTAAGATTATAGCAAAATAGAAAGTTCAGTGAAAGGAATTACTCAAGGAAGTGCGGTTCTGTGAGCTATACCTACAAAGTAGCTAAGATCTTATCTGTCTTACATTTCTAGTAACTAAACATCCCTGTTTTCCTTCTAGGTTCCTGATTATTACAGACCACTTTCTGAAAAATCCGGAATTGGTGCAAGCCATGTACGCCAAACTGAGCCATCAGGAAAGGTAACCCTGAGCCAGTGTGGTTTTGTGTATTTCACATTCAATACAGAGCATCCTGCAGCCCAGCTGAAGAGCTGTGTGGTTTCATGCTTGGCACAGACTCTAAGTGCATGTTGCCGTGTTGGTGCTGGTTTCAAAGTGGTTGGCTAACATTACAGCTCAGCCACAACAGGCAGTGATTTACGTAGGGCAGCAGAATTTGGGCTGGTGCCTTTATGCAGTAGAGGCATATTTAACAACAACAACAAAACACTTTAAGAACAAAATGTTTTGCTTGTGCCTGCCTGCCTGCCTGCCTGCCTTCCTTCCTTCCTTCCTTCCTTCTTTCCATGCTAAGGATTGAACCCAGGGCCTTGTGCATGCAAAGCAAGAACTCTGCCACTGAGCCACATCCCCAGCCTACCTTGTTTTTATAATAGCAACTTATGCAAGTATATATTACGGTTATATATTTGAGCTTTACTCATTTATTCACATCACTGGTGTAATCTGAGATAGCCTGTGTTAGTTTTGTAGTTTTCTAATAGTTAATGCAGACAGAAAGAAAATAATACATGCGCACGATCCTGAAGCTGTTGTAGTAGGAAGTGCTGAGACCTTAGTTCGTGACTTGCTGAGATAGTAATTCTTTATGTACTCTTGTCAGGTTTTTCCACCATGATTGGATTCAGTTTCTTGATCTGTTAGCTAAAAGAATTGAGTAAAATAATTTGCAGTACCCTTTCCATCCCAGTAGCCTGTGTTGTTTTGTAATCTTACTAGAAATGTTGCCTTAGGGGATGAAGTTTATCCAGAAATCACAGATCTAATGATCAAAAAGTTAAGTATTTTACAAGCTTTTGATTTTAGTCCCAAGTTTTATAATTGCAATAGTTTTGGAATTCTTAGTATGCATTTAGATTCCTTTTTTTTTTTTTTGGTACCGGGAATCGAACTTAGGATGTTGCGCTTGCCAGGCAGGTGCTTATGCTACTGAGCCATATCCCCAGCCCGCATTTAGATTCTGACAATTAAGCTTTATACATTCCTTCATAGGTTTTTGTTAAGTAGTTTTTTTTTTTCCTTCTTTAATGACTTTCAACAGAAAGGAAAAGTTCATGCTTTTAAAGTCAGTTTAAATATTAGATTTATAAATCCAGAGCTCCACTCCCACTTCCACCATATTCACAAGAATTACTGTATTGTTTTGGCCTAAAATAATCTGATGTGCAGCACTAAACATTACTAATTGCTTTGCAGTAAGGAGCACCTGAATATAAGGGGCATGTGTAACTTCATTACAATTTGATATTCAGATTGATATATATTCTCCCATGTTCCTACCAAGTGATATTACTTATTTATTTATTTTTACTTTTTATTTTATTTTATT